CGTTCCACATGCAAGGGCGGGCAATTATACCTTTAGTTGTTATATGTCAATAATACATTTAATAATTTTTAATAATTCTCTTATTTTTTCTTGTTGGATTGGCTTTCAGGTCGTTACTAGATTGGAGAAACTATCCTTGACAAGTGAAATGATATGTAACCTCCAATTACCAGAATACATCTTTTCCAATGTTAAATCTCTGGAAGTTCGCTGTATTCACGGTGATTCACTGGCTTTACCAATCTTCTTCCTCGAAAGGTTCTGCAATTTACAAAAGCTTCAAATAGGTTGTTCTGATATGAAGGAGTTGTTCCCACCTGTAGCATCCATTGATTCTTCGGAAAAAGATGTGGGAGGACGCTTGCATAAGATTACAAAGTTGGAGCTGAATCAACTTGTTAAGCTTAACTATATATGGAAACAAGGCCCAGCATCAAACTTACTCCTTCAAAATGTTAAATCTCTTAAAGTGCTGTTTTGTGACAGTTTGATCAGCTTATCAGAATCTACAGCATCTTTCCAAAATCTCACCACTTTGTCGGTGGCAAGCTGTGAAGGGTTAATAAACTTATTTTCATTTGCAACAGCCCAAAGTCTGGTGCAACTCCAAAGTATAAGTGTAGAAAAGTGCCACTCTCTGACAGAAATAGTTGGAGGAGAAGGAGTTGGATTAGCAGATGAGATTGTTTTCAGCAAATTAAAATTTTTGAAACTCAAGCGCTTAACAAGACTCGCAAGCTTTTGTTCAACAAATTTCACATTCAATCTCCCATTGTTGCAAGGACTAATGGTGGTTCAATGTCCCAAGTTTGAGACCTTCTGTCGCGGAGTCGTGAGGACTCCAAGCCTGCAGAGAATATTTACACAACAAGACGACGAAGGACGGGAGGTGGTTGAGCTGAATAGGACCATAAATCAATTGTACAAAGAAAAGGTATGAATTGAGCCATAAATGATCCTTATCTCTAAACTGTAATTTTCTTTCATCAACCAGAAGATAAAGCTATTGCTTCTTTTTCCTTTCTTTTCATTTTTATCAATTTTTTTTTTGAACAGCAAAAAATTTATTGAAAAATGGGGTACAAGGAGTGCTCCCAACCCATTTACATCAGTATTGTAATGCCTCATTTTTATCTGTGAGTTTATTTGGATTCTTCTAATATATAAAAATTGCTAGGTTGGATATGCTGGGTTACAAGATTTGAACCTATCAGAGTTTCCGTGGTTAATGGAAGTGTGGAACAAGAATCCTCAACAATTCTTGGATTTCACATGCCTTTGTGTCCTCAAAATTTGTAATTGTGGTAACTTGAGATACCTCTTAACTCCTTCCATGGCATTGAGCCTTGCTGGTCTCCAAACGTTGGAAGTACAAAACTGTGAAATGATTGAGAAAATAATAACAGAAGAGGGAAGTACGGAGGTAGCAGAAAATAAGATGATATTCCCTCTACTAGTCACCATTAATTTGGGGTCATGTTTCAACTTAACAAGTTTCTGTTCGGCAAGTTATGGACTTGAGTTTCCATCTTTGTCAGAGATGCGTATAATTGATTGTCCAAAGATGGTCACATTTGCTTCAACATTTTCAACAGTGCAAGTGAAGGAGGCAGTTGACGGTGGAAGTAAAGAAAGGACTGGCAAGCAATATGCTGATATCCCTAACGAGCCCTTTTTCAGTGGTCAGGTCAGTAATTTCTTCACGAAGAGTTTTTCTCTACACATTTTAGGTGCTTTTCCTGCGCTTGTATGGAGTACGTGCAAATTTGGATTATTCAACTTCAACTATCAATATAAATAAATTTACTTACGGTCAACTAAATGCATTTATTTATGATTTCATTAATTAGGTGGCTAAAACTAAGTGAATTCAGAATTCAGAAGTCAATATTCTCTTGCTTTTATGGATTAATTGTAATTAAGTCTTACCAT